ATAAATGAACATTTGTGGTGAATATTATTAGGTCTAGAACAGGAACCCCGTCATGTTGGATCTGGGCTCCCCACATGAACCATCAAGAAGGGATGTGAGCCCTGGGAGAGGAAGAGGGGGACAGAAATAATCCGGGAGGTCTCCTTATCTTAGCAGACGTTCTTATTGTGTTTTGGGTGCAGTGTCTTCTGATTTGATTGCTGTGTTCAGCAGATTTGTAGAGACCCAGATTCTGGAACGTTTTATGCACAAGGATCAATAAAAGCTCTTAGCTTATTTAGCTTCCATATTCAAACATCATCAGGACCATTGCTCACATCTCAGACAATGTGGAAGAATGGCTCCAGGGTTAAAAGGGTTATCTCACCCTAAGGCTCCAGTGTGCTGAGTGGGGATTGCTTCTTGAAGCCAGGGGCTTGGGGCCACAGCCTTACTCCTGTGACACGTGAACCTGTTTTCTGACTCAACATAGAGCCCTTGAGCAATGGTTCTGCTTTGAGGGGCTGGGCCATGAAACTCTTTGCTCAATTTATGAACTTCTTTGGGTTCCTTGGTACCTGGTGGGCTCTCCAAATCCTGGTTCTGGGTCTGTGGTCGGTGCCTCGCACATTGTACACCTACTTGAAGGAAACGCTTGCTGGAGGCAAGAAGGAGTCACTGCGCCCAAGGCAGCCTCTCATTTAGCCACCCTCTTCCTTAGAATCATCTTCTGTGTCATCTAGGTGCTTCTGGGTCTAAGGGTGGAGGAGAAAGGGGATTGGCTGAGCTGCTGCCAGGGGCTCTAGGGTTGGAGGACAGTACAGTGCCCCAAGAGATAAAGCAGAGAACAGGCCCTGAGCACAAGGAAGGAGTTGAGCACAATCTTGGCTGACTGGGCCTCAAGAGGAAAGTAGAGAAACCAAATCTGGATGTCAGGCCCAGTGACCCTTGTGGGATAGGAGGGAGCTCAGAGAGCAGAACTTGTGGTAACAGATTACAGGGGGTTGTGAATTAAGTGGAAACTGTGTTAAAGCGGCCAGGAAGCATGTGAGTAGGTAGGAGGCGTGCAGAGCCCATGATCAGCTGAATCTGCAGTGCCCAGTATGGCAATAGGAGGAAGTTATATAATCTACTTAATAGAAAAAAAAAAACAACTTTAGAATTTAAATTAGAAGAGTCATCCAACTACACTTTAGCAGTCTAGCATGGCCCTATCAGTAGATTTTTGTTTTCTTTTTTTTTTTTTTGAGATGGAGTGTCACTCTGTTGCCCAGGCTGGAGTGCAGTGACACTATCTCAGCTCACTGCAACCTCCGCCTCCTGGGCTCAAGTGATTCTCCTGCCTCAACCTTCCGAGTAGCTGGGATTACAGGCGCCCACCATCACGCCTGGCTAATTTTTGTATTTTTAGTAGAGGTGGGGTTTCACCATGTTGGCCAGGCTGGTCTTGATCTCCTGACCTCAGGTGATCCACCCGTCTTAGTCTCGGCCTCCCTAAGTGCTGGATTACAGGCATGAGCCACTGCGTCTGGCCCCATCCAGTAGATTTTGATTATCTATCTAAATTCAGCTACAAATTTGAGAAAAAATTTTTTTTGTTTTAAAAAGACTTTGAGTGCTTACAATGGATGGCCCAAGCCCTGCCCAAGACATGCACTGGGCCATAGGGGAGCCCCCAGTCTCACTTAGAGCGCCCTTAGGCTTCAGGAGCCAGAGCTAGCTGGGACCCCAGAGCCCATTTAAACCAAGCTCTTGCACAAGATGAAGAAATCCAGGCCCATGTTAACTCTTTTCCTGCCCGGGCCTCACAGGCTGGGTTACTTGCAGCACCTGCCCTCAGTACCAGGCCTCTAGTTTGCATAGATTTGCTGTGTTGAGCAGAGCTGGAAATAAGTCCTGCTCTTTCCGTTCTGATTTCCCAGCCCAAGATTGCTACAGCCTCAGGGCCTTGGAGAGACTGTTGTACGTGGAACAATTTGGTTGCAGGAAGCAGAGATACCCTCCCAAATTGAAGGGGTAAGGGAGTGCGTGCAGGAGTAAGAAGTATGTACAGACGAGCCTCACGGCCACTGGACTCACTACATACCTGCTGTCCTGGGCCTGCATGGTGTCCTGTGACCTCTCCCTGGGCCTCTGCCCTGCTCTCTTTGTAGGCCAGCTTCCTCTCCTTCCATAGAGCCCCCTGTAGCTCCATCGCTTGATCTTTTTTTTTTCCCCCCCGAGATAGAGTCTCACTCTGTCGCCCAGGCTGGAGTGCAGTGACTTGATCTCGGCTCACTGCAACTTCCACCTCCTGGATTTAAGCAGTTTTGCCTCGGCCTCCTAGAAACTGGGATTACAGGTGTACGCCACCATGCCTGTTTTTTGTATTTTTAGTAGAGACAGGGTTTCACCATGTTGGCCAAGCTAGTCTTGAACTCCTGACTTCAGATGATCCTCCCGCCTTGGCCTTCCAAAGTGCTGGGATTACAGGCATGAGCCACTGCGCCCGGTCCCATCACTTGATCTTGTGCATGGCATTTGCCTGTCACGATTCTACCAATACCTTTCCCTTAACTCCAGGGTCTACCACCAGCTGACTAGAGTTTTTTTTTCATAGTTGCAATTTTGAAAGAGTGTCAGATTGGCCCAGCTTCCTCATGTATGGATGAATTGTCTTTAAGTCAGAGTTCTACTCTTTGTCCATCAGGGGAAGTCCAGGTGAATGAGTAGGTGGGGTAGGGGCAGGGTAGGCAGGTAGAATGACTTGCCTAAATATTGGAGATCTGCAAACCGTTTTCCAAAGGACTTAAGAAGCATGAAAGGAATCCCCCATTCCCTCACGAATTGCAAATTGCTATGACTGGAGTGTAGGGTGCATGCGAGTGGCAGGGCACAGGGCGGATCAGCTGGAAAGGGGCATGAGACAGGTCCCCAAGGCTTTTGCCTGGGTCACAGGGCTGAGAAACCTAGTTATCTGTGTAGGTGAATTATCCATCTCTCACTGAAGGTGTGGCCTGGAGTGAAAGGAAGGCTACAAGAGGCTGGCTAGGGAGAGATGGAGAGTGGGGTCTTCCTTCCTGTTAAGGAGGCAGAGCAGTCAGCCCAGTAGTGCCCACCCCACTCCCGCCCCAGGAACACTTTGCTCTTGTTCCCCCAGGAAGGCTCCTTGTGGGTGGCTCCTAGCTGACCACTAGCTCAGCTGTTTGCCTGTTAAGACCTTTTCCCTGACTGCTCTTCTTTCCCCACAGTGACCTTGGCTCGTGGTGTTTTGTTAGCATTAATTATAAAGGCAGCAAAGTGCTCAAGGCCTCAAGCAACTTTTTCTTTTTCCATCTCACTGGATGCCTTTGTGGTTTGCCCTGAATCTTTGTGAGGTCTTGACGTTACCACCCGTCGCGTGGCTCACTCCGCTGCAGTTCTGTCAGCATCTGCTGCCGCATGGGATGACTCTTGTTTCTCTCTGTATCGAAGGGTTTCTTTGCCCTGGACACTGTCCTTGTGTATCTATCACTCCCCTGTCCCTCCATGGGTTTCTCTTTCTCTCCTTACGAATTATCATTCATGTACCTCTCTTTCCTAAGCTTGATTAGCGGAGTTCATTTAGCATAGTGGGTCTTATTATAGGCTGGGGGTGAGCTGAGTGTGAGCATGAAAAATGAAAAGTCAGACTTTGAGAACTCCACCTCCATTTCCACTAGAAATGGTTACACCGGGTGAATGAGGATGTGTGGGTGAGGGAGGGGCTTGGGGGAGAGAGGAGTGTTAGGGGAATGGGCACATTTCTTCATTGCTGGGAGCAGTTTCTATGGTACCAGTAGTCCTGAAAGTAGCATGCCAAGACTGTTCAGAAGCCTGAAAAATTTGGAAAGTCTCTGACCCAGCACAATTTTATTCCTAAGACTGTCTGAGGAAAATAATCGTGGGGATCCCTGGAAGATTTTGTTTTAAACACTATTTGCCATTAGCGAAAAACAAAACAAAACAAAAGGTTGGAGGTGACTTAAATGTCCAGCCTTTGAGGGTTGGGTACAATTTATGGTGTAGCTATGTGGGGTACTATACATGGCTCACTGGAGACCCATGGTACCTATATATCATGTAGCCGTTAGAATGATGCTGCTGAAGATTACTTAATGACACAGTACTTACTAAACCATGCCCAGCTTTATTACATCTTTATAAATAATCTGAAAAATAGAAACAAGAAACAGGCAGAGTATGTTATCTATAGTTATCTTGGATGAAGAAAGAATAGGTACATTTTGTCCTTTTCATTTAATTATATTTTCTAGAATTTATAGATTGAACATACATTTTTTTGACACAAGGAAAAACAATTACTTTAAAAACAAATGCTCTCTATTCAGACAACTATAATAATATATGGGTTGAACATTTAGAATCAGTTAAAAATGCTTCCAAAATGAATTAGAAATTAAATTCACTTTTTTTTTTTTTTGAGATGGAGTTTTGCTCTTGTTGCCCAGGCTGGAGGGCAATGGCGCGATCTTGGCTCACTGCAACCTCCGCCTCCCGGGTTCAAGCGATGCTCCTGCCTCAGCCTCCCAAGTAGCTGGGATTACAGGCGTGAATTCACATTTGTAACAGCATAAACAACATACTATAGGTCAAAGGAGACTGTGAACAAGTTTGATGTAGTTGTTGATTGAAATCCATTGTCTGCAGGCCTTCTCTAAACACAAGTCTTGGGCCCTATCTGTAGCTTTCTAGCCCTTGCTTTCTCTTACCATGAGTAGTGTGTAGCGCAACGATTCCATGACTGTAGTTGAGTTTGCTTTGCCTAATCTGCAACTCACTCTCAAATTGTACAGCCCCAGAGGGATGAGTCTGGGTGAACATGTAGCTGGTTGAGGTCCTGGAAAGGAGGCTGGCTGCCCCAGGTGAGGGCGGTGGTTCTGAAAGGAGCACCAGCGACCAGAGCTGGCAGTGGGAGGAGCAAAGACTCTTTCCTCCTGGATGTATTAACCTACGTGCTTCTGGTAAACTTCGCTTTGTTGTTGTTTTTTTCCCCCCTGCAGGCAAGGGGAGAGCCAATTGCACAGAGCCTTGCGGCCAGCAGTCCCGGGAGAAGTGGTGAATGTCATGGAGCCCAGCTGAAATGGACTGGCCCCCTTGAGCCTGTCCCAAGCCCTGGTGCCAGGTGTCCATCCCAGTGCTGAGGTAAGACCCCTTGAATCCCAGCCTGAGGAAGAGAGGACACAATGCCTTTTTGCAGGGGCAGGAGGCAGAGGGCCTTCTCAGGAAATAAGGAGCAGTTAGTTTCTGGTTCAGTTAAACCATCTGCTTCAGCCTCCGCCCATTGGGAGGCAAGGTCATTTGGTGGCCAAAGGCTTCTGGTTTGTCAGAGCAGGTCTTTTGGAATCTTGATGGGAGTTGTATTTTCTCAGTTGCTGGTGAAATTCGAATTCCCAAGGGAATAAATGTATCCTCCAGGTAAGACTGCACCAGATTCAGGTGAATGCTTAACTTAAATATACCTCCTCTGCTCTGCAGGGGAGCTCTTGGGAAACACACACACACACACACACACACGCGCGCGCGCGCTTGTGCTGCGCTCTCTCTCTCTTTCAACCCAAGGGTGACGGAGTCACAAATTATGCAGAGAGGTTATTCCAAAACATTCTGGGAAGCTCACTAAAAATTGATTTTAATGACCTAGATATGTTCTGATGATAAAGAACTATATGCTCATAGGATGATTGGAAAAATACTGTTGTGGAAGAAAATACAATGTATCTGAAATCCTGCCCCTGTTAACAATCCTCCGGGTGGTTTTCTATTAAGGTTACTCTTTAAGCTTCCATAGGATGTTGATTTTTCCTGTGTGGAGGTAGAAAGGTGAGGCAGAAGGAGAACTTGCCCCCCCTAATCTGGAAACTCTCTCTGTTTCCCAATTTTTATATATTCAAGAATTTTGCAAACTGCTTGTTAAAAATGATTAAAAACGATGGGTGGATTGAAACTGACCACGATGGGAAAACTTATGCCACGGAAATGAGCAGGTGCTACAACCCAAGGCTTTTTCGTTTTAGAAATTCTGATTAGATAAGCAAGCTGCTGGTTTCAGGGCTTACTCTACCCCAGGCTGTGGGGCATCCTGCAAACCACTTCCCTTATGCACGCCTTCATTTCCTCACCTGTGAACGGTAGGTGCCCAGTAACATGAGTTGCATGAATAAATGAACGTGAGATTTCCGTCATTATTTCATACAACAATCATGAGGGTCCCATAAAATCATGAAAATAGAAATGTTTTTGCATCCAGTGAGCCTCCCTGCCCCTGTAGAGAGGGGCCTGGTTGACTAGGCAACCTTTGGTTTAGTGGTAGAGAGAAGTTGGCTGCATTTCCCCCTTTGGCTCTGGCTCCTTGGGGAGCCTTTAGATTACTGACACTGTTTTATAAAGGCAGATGAAAACCCACCACTGACTGACCAACATCTGGGGCACATTTCCTTCCCGGAAAAGTCAAAAAGTTGGTCAGAGAAGTGTGAAAAGGGAGCCTCAGCAATGCAGGATGTAAGAGCCGGAACTGAAATCAGAGCTTTTGACTCATAATCTCTAATGCGGGTGTAGGGGACTTCTTGCCAAATGTGAAATTGCAACAAAAGCCTCTTTCTTCAAAGCCCTGCTGTTGCAGCAGATTAGAGCCAATAAATTAGCATAATGAAGTCCCAGCCTCTGTCCCCCTCCCTCTGCTTCCTGAATCTCTTCATGTGTCCCAAAGGAGGGATAGGGAGCGGGTGGGACATCCGTTAAGCACCAGTTTATCTTTGTAGAATTGTAGGTTCAGAAAATTATAAAGGTGGTAAGGTCTACAGAGTCCATCTGGTCCCACACCCTCATTTTAAGAACCCCAGGCCACTGAGCTGGTGATGACCAGTGCCTGAGGAGAAAGTACGTACTCCTGGGAGGAAGGGAGCTCAGGTTGAGGGGTGGAGGATGGAGCGCTGCTCAGGAGGCTGCCTCATCACGGAGCTTACGTATAACTGGCAGGGAACATGGTGGGTGGTCTCCAGGTGCCAGCCCTGCCTCTTCCCTTCCTAGCCCTTCCCCCGTATCTGAAGTCCCAGTGTACTTACTTCCTGAAGTACCTCTCTAGTGTGTTTGGACTTAAGGCCATCAGAGGCCTGGTTTTCTGGTCAGCAAAATCAACTAAGATCTTATTTTTTATTTTTTTTGGATGGAGTCTCACTCTGTTGCTCAGGCTGGAGTGCAGTGGTATGATCTTAGCTCACTGCAACCTCCGTCTCCCAGGTTTAAGTGATTCTCCTGCCTCAGCCTCCCGAGTAGCTGGGGTTATAGGCATGTGCCACCATGCCGGCTAATTATTTTGTATTTTTTATTTACAGATGGGGTTTTATCATGTTGGTCAGGCTGGTCTAGAACTCCTGACTTCAGGTAATCCACTCGCCTAGGCTTCCCAACATGCTGGGATTACAGGTGTGAGCCATCGTGCCCGACCTAACTAAGATCTTATTCTGAGAACCTTTAGGTCTATTTATGACAAAGGGAAGGAAGGGAAGAGGCTGTTGATTGAGCTCGTGATGGTTCCCAGCAGTGTTTTGTGATCTGTCTACATTATCTCGTTTAATTCTGCGATGAGCTAACAAGGTATCTATCCCATGTCACGGATGTAGAAATTGGGTCTCCCAGAGGTAAAGAGACTTCTGCGAGATTTCACAGCTCATAAGCAAAAGAGATACACTAAGGCTGTCTGTGACCTCCACAGCTTCTCAAAGCTAGTGAGTGCTCTTTATGGCAAGCACCTGCCCACGTGGTAGTTCCAAAATCCAGTTCTGACACAGAGTTTCTCCCGTCGGGGAATATCATTCCATCTCAGACGCTCTGTGAACAGCTGCAGCTCAAAGCGCTTGGAGCTTTACAAAATGCTGCACTGTTCCTTTTAAACCCCAAGGGCTCTTCCTTGTAGAGTAAGATAGCACCAGAGCTGGGAGCATTTAGAGAGTGCTACCGTGTAGTCCTCTCATTCAGCTGATGCCCCAGGAGGTGAGGCCCAGTGGCACTGGGCCCCCAAATCTCCCCGCCAGTTAGAAGCAAGGGGCATCTCAGTCTCTGGACTCTCAGAACTGTTTCCAGGGAAGTGCGCAAAGACAGATATGCTTACTTTTCCTCTGCAACTCGGGAAGAGATTATTCCTCTGGCTAGAGGGATTGAATTCAGTTCCACAGATACTTACTGAAAGCCTACTATGTGCCCTGCCAAATATCTCAGCTTGTTTGGGCAAGAAACTCTGGCCCACACTTGGACATACAGATCTGACAAGAGGAGGAACTTCCATACTTCAAGGCTGCTGAGGACCTTCTCTTTTCCATCCGTTCTGTCACCACTCATGTCCAGCCTTTCCTTTAAGAACTCTAAAGGGAGAAATGATGTCTCAAGTAGCTGTGTGTCCGGGGTCCCCAGACTCCTGAAGAGGTGTTTTGTTTGTTTGTTCCTTTGTTGTTGTTGTTGTTTTTGTTTGGTTGGTTGGTTTTTTTAAGATGATGTCTCGCTCTGTTGCCTAGGCTGGAATGCAGTGGCACAATCTCAGCTCACTGCAGCCTCCACCTCCCCGGGTTCAAGCGAGTCTCCTGCTTCAGCCTCCCAAGTAGCTGAGATTACAGGCGCCTGCCACCACACCTGGCTAATTTTTGTATTTTCAGTAGAGAGGGGGTTTTGCTATGTTGGCCATGCTGGTCTCGAACTCCTGACCTCAGGTGATCCACACGGCTCAGCCTCCCAAAGTGCTGGGATTACAAGTGAGAGCCACTGTGCCTAGCCTGAACACAGAGTTTTAAGCGCCTGACTTGCTAACTGGGGCACAAACCAGCAGGTGGGGGAGGGAGTCAGGGTCTTTGGAAGAGACTTGCTGAGGGACAGGGCTGAGGGGAGGAGGAGGCAGAGTGGCAGAGGGAGTGATTTGGGGAGGCACTGCTAAGTGGAGGTGATGCTCTGCCTTCAGCTTTGGCTTAGCAGGGCACTCAACGTGAATTAGAGCCGAAAGAGCTCCTTGGAAGGCTTGATCGTTAGACATCATGTCTTTCACTCGAAGAAATGGAGGCCCAGAAAGGGGAAGGATCTTGTTTGTAGCATGGGAGGAAGTGGAGTCTGTTCTGCTGACTGTCTGCTCAGGTCCTTGACACAAAACCGCCATGGCACTAGAGGCCAGGGTGTCCTGGGGAGCAGGCACAGCCCTTCCTGCCTTAGCCCATCTGGCCCAGGATGGGCTGACTTTGGCTGTTGGAGGTATTTGTGGCAGTGGCAACCCAAGAGGGAGAGGGTGTCATTTCAGTGATGCTGGAGATCTCTTGCAACCCCAGCCCCTCACTCTCCTTTGGAGCCTTCATAGAGGTCTTGCTTAGGCCAGGGAGTTACAGCCTGTGGCTTCAGGTTGGGAATTTGCCACTGTAGAAAGGCATCACAGTATGGAGAAAAGGGCCCAGCTTTGAAGCCATTTGACTTGGGGCTGAGCCTGACTTGACCATAGCTTCATGACCTCCCCACTTTCTGACCCATTTCTGACCCGCTTTTCTGACCCAGTTTCATCATCTGTAAAATGGGCCAAATAATACCTACCTTTTCCCCACAAAGTAGATGTCTATTAGATGGTACCCATTAGTCTTTTTTTCATATACCCTTATTGAGGTGTAATTGACAGACAAAACCCTACACATACTTAAATTGTACAACTTGGTGAGTTTTGACATATGTATACAGTCATGAAACTATTCCCACAATTAAGTTAATAAACATAATGATTACCCCTAAAAGTGTCCTTCTGAGCTTTATCTCTCCCTCCTGCCCCCTTCCATCTCCTGCCCTCCAGCCCCAGGCAACCACTAGACTAAGCTGCTTTCTCACACTATAGATTCGTTTGCATTTTCTGGAACTTTATGTAAATGGAATTATAGAGCATGCATTTTTTTTTTTCCATTCAGCATAATTATTTTGCTGTTCATCAATGTTGTGTGTATCAGTAGTCCTAGTTGTGGATATATCACAATTCATTTATCCAATTACCTGTTGACAGACATTTAGATTGTTTCAAATTTTGGACTATTAAAGCCATTAGAGTCATTTGTGGAAAAAAATGTTGTGGGATATAAGTATTTATTTCTCATGAGTAATCTAAGAGTAGAATGGCTGGGTCATATGGTGGG